GTCCTGCGAGGCGATCGTCTTCCGCACCCTGTCTGGGTGACAGCCTGGGCAATGACATTATGAGGGCTGGAGGGGGAGCTACGAAGCGAGGGGGCGAGTCAGAGCTGAGGGCTCCTGTGGCTCCTGGGGACCCAGGGGCAGAAAAGTCACACTGCACGGAGGACACTGCCTGTCCAAGTTTTCTAAAGTTATTATTGTCCTAACTGGCCTGGCCCAGAAGCTGCCCTGTCAAGACTAGTGCAGGAGTGCCTCCTGATGGTCTCAGAGCCTGGACTTTCCTGCACCTCAGACACCACCCAGCACCTAGAAGGCATCTTCACTTTCAGATGGCTCTTCCTACTGTCACTACCCAGGACAGAAGAATGAGGAGGTCCCAGGCATAGTGTGTGAGGCTGAGATACTAACTGCATCCAGGTTACCAGTGTCCTTCAGTCTGCTCAGATGGGTGTAGGGTACACTTTATGGCACCAGAGTTTTTAGGATTGTCTGAAATTTGAATTGTTTCTCCCAGGGGTTTATGATGGTCCCAGCAAAGGACAACTTTATAGGCTCTTAGTTTTTTTGCATGTGGACCCCAGTGGGAAGTTTCAGTGTTATTGTGGGTATTTTTTTCAGTTTGTTTCTTCATCTATCATTTTTTAATTTTTTTGGTTTCCTGTTGTTGTTGTTGGTGGTGGTATGTGCCATTGAGTTGCACTCGACTCATAGCGACCCCTCTTTGGGTTTCCAAGGTGTTATCACTACATAAGTAGATTGCCCAACCTTCCTTCCAAGGAGTGGTTGGTGAGTTTGAACTGCCAGCCTTCTGGTTAGCAGTCAAATGCCTTAGGCACTACGCCACCAGAGCTCCAGTTCCTTTAAAAGCTCAGGGCTCCAAGATTACTTTCTGTATCTCTGTCAATGGGTTTCTCTTTTCCTTGTTGAAGAGGGTCTGTGTAGCTTGTCTGTCTATTCCTCCATCTTACTGGAAGTCCAGAAGCCATATGGCTTTTTAAAAAAAAAAAAAAGAAAGAAAGAAAGATCATGTGTGAAGAGTTTGTGAGAAAGTTGCAAGAGAGAGAATAGATTCTACTTCAGGGATGATTGGATGGTTGGAGAATGGGATGATGGCTGGATTGGATGATTCAGATGGAGAAAGAACAGGATGCAGATGGGTTTGCTTGTCAAGAGAAGGGTTGGGAGAGATGAACTTTCTTGCATTTTGGAACTGTATTCCTTGAGGGTAATTTGAATTGTGAGTAGTTCTTCCCTTCCTTAATCCTGTTTATTCCTGATGGAGCATGCTATAAGATATAGCTCTACAGTTGTTTTGGATTGTCAACTAGGACAAGAGTGTGTGCGTGTGCATGTGTGTGTGTGTGTGTGTTCTCTGATATGGATGCATTATATTTAGAATCTGTCCTGTTGATTTTGCATATCTCTTATGAGGCAGGGAAGCCTTGGGCTTTATTGTCCAGCTTCAGCAGGAGCCAGAGGATGATATTAATGAAAGAAATACATACACATATACATATACACATACACAAACATATACATATACATTTACACACATACCCCACACACACATACACACACATAAATATAGGGGCCCTGGTAGCATAGTGCCTAAGGAACTTGACTGCTAACCAGAAGACTGGTGGTTCAAACCCACCAGCCACTCCTTGGAAGGAAGGTTGGGCAATCTACTTCTGTAATAATAATGCCTCGGAAACCCAAGGAGGGGTCACTATGACTCAGGTCTGATTTGACAGCACATAATAACAACATGTGTATATGTATATGTATATATGTGTATAAAATACACACTCTTCCATTCACCATGGCACCATATTTTAATTCTGATTAGAATGGATATGATTACTTGTTTGCTCTTTCTCTCTTCCTTCCAGTGTCAGCTTTGGGAAACATGGACCCTCCCAGTATTGTCAATATTCTGTCCCAAGACAGGTACATAATAGGAAATCAATGAAGAGTGCAGTTGGGCAAGCCTATAAATTGGGGGAATTTCCTGAATCAGTCAAAGCTGCGTTTGGTGTCGTTGGTTCTTCCCTGACTCCATCAGACTCTGTCCCCAGGATAGTCTATTCTTAGCTATAAGGAATCCCTATTGAATTTAAAAACATCAGACAGTGTCTTGCTGCTAACGAAGGCATTGGCATTGGGGTAGAATCTGAGAGCAGAAGGATGTTCTCTTCTGTGCTTTTGAGACATTAACTTTCAGACAAACAAGGGAGAGCAGGTGTCTGGGCTGAGGAGGGGCTGCACAGGGAGTCCCACTGTTGGGGGCAGCATGTTTGTGTCTCACTTCCCCACTGGCCTGGAGCACTGTGTGGCATTGATGCTGCTGTCCCAGGATGCACAGTAATAGTCAGCCTCATCCTCAGGCTGGAGTCCAGAGATGCTCAGGGTGGCCGTGTTCCCTGACCTAGAGCCTGAGAAACGGGCTGGGACCCCTGAGAGCCTATTACTGTCATCATAAATGAGAAGTTTGGGGGTACTGCCAGGAAAATGCTGCAACCAGCCTGTGTATCCACGCCCAACATTATTGCTGCCTCCAGTGCAGGAGATGGTGACCGTATTCCCCACAGACTCAGACTTTGCAGATGGCTGAGTCAGCACAAACTGGACCAGAGACCCTGAAAGTCAAGAGAGACACACAGATGTGAGAGAAGGGGGTCTGTGGACAGGGACACACCCAGGGTTCCCGGCCCCTTCATCCCCATCCCTGATGCCCATCCTTCAGCCACCTGTGCAGTGAATGAGGAGAGGGAGAAGGAGAGGAGCCCAGGCCACGGTGGAGACTCCCACACGGCTCTGTGTCCTGAGACCCTCTGCAAGGTCTGGGCTCCCCAAGTCCTTCTCATCTTCTCCAGCAGCTAAGGTTGGGGAGCACCCTTCATGCAAAGCACCCACCTCCCCTGAGACGTCCAAGCCCCCCCCCTGGGCCCTGAATCACCCCCCAACTAGAAACCATATTTTGGGAGCGGAGGTGGAGCTGGAGCTGGTGGGCTGGGCTGTGGTTCCAGCACCTTCTGACGTCACCACTCTGAGCCCCAGGGAGCACCTTATGAAGGGCACCAGACCAGAGGCAGGTGGGTGGTTCCCAGCTGGGATCACAACACACACTCAGGGACAGGCCGCAGTGCCCTCTGCTGCCCGAGGCCTGGGCACACCATATGGAGAAGACAGAACTGTGCATTGTCCACTTTCCTGGCCCCAAAGGGCCATGATGGGCCATGTCCACGTTATTGTGTTTCTCTCTTCTTCCACATGTCAGCTCACAGGACAGTCCTGGGAGGTTGACCTCAGTGATAAGACTCCCCTGGGAGGCAGCAGAGTAGGACCTCAGGGCAGAGACAGAGCAATCACCCTCCCTGTCAAGGCAGTGAGTCTGGCCCTGTCTTCTGTTGATAGAAACAAGTGGCCCAGTAATGGGATGTGGAAGTGAAGTTGACTTTTCACTGAGACTTTCTCTACTGTCTACTCTTTACACTCTGACAGTGTGTTTACTACTCTTAACATATTTGAAAACAAAAATCTTCACAATTGGACCAATATCATGATAAATGGAGGAAAGTTTGACATTGTCAGGGATTTTGTTTTACTTGGATCCACAATCAATGCCCATGGAAGCAGCAGTCAGGAAATCAGAGGACATACTGTACTGGGCCAATCTGCTGCAAAAGACCTCTTTAAAGTGTTGAATAGCAAAGATGTCACTTTTAATAGAAGGTGCACCTGAGCCAAGCCAAGGTCTTTTCAATAGCTTCATACACCTGTGGACAATGAATACAGAAAACCGGAGAATTAATACATTTGAATTATGATATTGGCAAGGAATCCTGAAAATCCCTTGGACTGCCAGGAGACAGTGCAGCCACAATGCTCTTTAGATGAAAGAGTGGCCACCCTTCACCTGACGTGCTCTGGTCGTGTTGTCAGAAGGCACCAGTCCCTAGAGCAGGAGACCATGCTGGGTGCAGTAGAGGGTCGTCAGAAAAGGGGAAGGCCCCTAAAGTGATGGACTCACACAGTGACCGCAGCCGTGGCCTCAAGCACAGCAGTGATGATGTGGGTGGTGTGGGACCAGACGGGGTTTGGTTCTGTTGTCACAGGGTTGTTGAGTGGGAGCCAACTTGGCAGCGCCTAACACCAGCAAT